GCATTTGACACCCCCCCCAAAGTGCAGCATCCCCTCTCCAAAACACCCGTGTCCCACCACCCTCCATCCCACTGCTCCTCTGTGCCTGCACAGCCCGTGGTGGAGGTACCCCTGTGATGACATGCCAGCCAGGACAGGGACAGATAGGGACAGCACCCCCCACCCCCCCATGCCAGCCAGGCCCAGGGGCAGAGGGAAACTGGGGGGCCTGGTCCTGCTCACAGCTCCAAACAGACAGGGAGCGCCTGTGCGTGCACACACCACCACTCCCCCCCACCCATCATTACAGCCCTCATTAATCAGCCTCGTTACTGCCCACAAATGAAAGCCCCACTGGAGAGGGGTGTCCCCACCCCCCCCATAAATCACCTCCTCCCATTCACTGCCATGACAAGCCTGGGCCCCTCAGAAGGGCATGGGCAAGGGTCATGCGACGAGGACAGGGTGGCTGTGGGGACACTGCCCGTGAGCATCATTTAGGGCTCATTTTCTCAGTGGGAGGGGTGGGCACAGATGGGGACAATTATCCACTCTCCTTGGGTACCAGTGGTTCCCATTCACTGCCATGACAAGCCTGGGCCCCTCAGAAGGGCATGGGCAAGGGTCATGCGACGAGGACAGGGTGGCTGTGGGGACACTGCCCGTGAGCATCATTTAGGGCTCATTTTCTCAGTGGGAGGGGTGGGCACAGACGGGGGCAATTATCCACTCTCCTTGGGTACCAGTGGTGCAGGCATGTAACCCCAGCGCAGGGCCAGCCTTGGCAGGAGTCCTCTGCGTCCCCCCTCCCAGGGTCACTGTGTCCCCAAGCCCCCCGTGCCTGCTTCCAGCAGAGCCTTCCCCGCACTGTCCTTGGGTGCTGCACACATTGCACACGCACCTCCCCCGTGTACACACTGGGGCACGCTCATGCACACCACACATACAGCCCATGTCACACATGGGTGGTGGGCGCCCGTGTGTGTGGGTGCCCGTCTGGGCACGGGATGGGCTGGGGGACACCCCTCTAACAGCATAAAGCCCCACTGCTACTGCACCCAGTACACACGCACGTGCCAGGGGCCACACACACACACCCACGCAGGGACATGCACCCTCACAGCAGCTCCCCTGTGCACCCTGCTGCGTACCCACACTCACGCGAGCCGCAGCTCACTCTCTCCCCAGCCCCATCCGCACGCTCGTGAACACATGCACATACAAGCACACACGTGTGTTACACATCCCCACGAGGCCCTGTTCTCACACCCGTGTCAGGGACACGGGGACACAGGGGTGGACGTGGGACCGCATAACCTCTGCCGCGCACCCACTAGTGCTCCCCACCCACCCACCCGCAGCCCTGAGCACCCACCCCTGCCCCTGCCAGCTCACGGTCCTGCGTCCCTGGCACGCACTGGGGTCCCCAAGCAGCCGGGGGCCTCTCCCTCCTCCAGGCTGGGTCCCTGCCCTGGCACACACTGGCCTGTCACCACCCTGCAGTGACACTCCCCCAGGCGCTGCCTTGGCGGTGGCTTTGGCACCCGCTTTGCTGGCACGGTGCAGCCAGAGTGGCCTGTGCCACCCCACCGGGCACGGGGCAGCTTCCAAAAGGTTAAGGAAACAAAGAGAGGGTGGTGGGTGGGAGCCCCGCGCCCTCCGCCAGCCTCCCCCCTCCCTGCCTCAGTTTCCCTGGGCACAGGTTGCAGAGCACTGCGTGGGCACAGGGATCCCCCCCATCCCGTGCGGGGCAGTCCTTTGGCACACACACCCGGGTGCTGATGGGCACTGGGAAGCCCCACGCCGGGTGCTTACAGGCACGGGGGTCCCCCCACACTGGGCACAGGGATCCCGCACAGACTGAGCACTTTATGGGCACAGAGCTGCCCAGTGCCAGCTGCTTACGGGCACAGGGATCCTCCATGCTGAGCACTTTATGGACACAGGGATCTCTCCTGCTGGATGCTTTATGGGCATGGGGGTCCCCTCATGCTGGGCACCGGGGTCTCCCCATTGTATGTGCTGTAAGGACACAGGGACACCCCCCCACCTCCACACTCTCTCTGTTAAGGACACAGGGATCCCAGCAGGTCCCCTTCCGTGAAATGCTGTACGGCAGATCCCCCCCAGCCGGGCACTGCAGGGGCCTGGGGGTGCGGGTTATAGTGGGGGGGGGGGCAGGTGGCAGGGCCACGCTTGGGGGGAAACAAGGAGGG